TGTGTGACATCGATATGAATAACCTTTTAGAACTGAGATCATTGACCCTTTTACCGAAGAGTCAATCGCTCATTCAGCCCGGGGAATCTTAGAGAAGTGTTGTCGACTTAGAGCAAAAAGATTGTATCATTTCGATGACCTCTAGCATGCATTCACTACAACATTTTCTGGAGTGCATGTTATACACCCTCAAAATAGAGTATACATTGATGAGAGATTGACAGGAGCATGCACCTGAAATGACCACTTCCTGCTTCATCAGAGCATGCGGCTCAGAGAGAAGATCAAAATGCGGATGGCAAGGGCTCACCTAGTCCTGTCCAATTTGCGAGGCCGAGTATACAAAACCATAGTACATGCGGTACACGTTCGCGCCCGGAACCCCGATCAATGCCCGGCATTTTTGAGTTTGGCACGCAACCTCAAGCCAGACCAGCGTGTGAATATGTCTATGGATTCTTGTTTTTTTTTAATGGGTTGTCGCATAGCAAAAATACCGAAACGGTCTATCATACATTGCCTCATTTTCAGTCAATCTATTCTGTATGCTTTCTCCGTTGCCTTTGAGAGTTAGTCAGTTCGAAGGCATCCAGGGTGATAACTAAATAAGCAGGCCAGTCTCGGTTCGTACTGATAATGCACCTTTTGATGACCTGGGGAAATGTAAAGAATCACATTGAAATTCGCGACAAGCGGTGCATGAAGAGAACGTTCTGATAACATCCGAACATCGGGTCCCAGTTGGGCAGAATTGATTTTATCAATCAGTTTAGTACTACTTCTCGTACCCTGTGGGTGCACATGAAATAGAGAACTGCATTTCATTAGGGGAGAGAACCGACTCATAGGAGTCGAGAATACTTATGTATACTTAATTTAAACTAAATAATTTCAGTCTACCATATTTGTCACTGATGAAAAACACTTGTAGAGCACACAAGTGCGAATCCAACCGTGTGAACAACAATTGTGTTGTCAATAAACTTCCCAGGAACAAAACTCGACGTGTGCATCAGATACCACCGGGAACGATTGTTATTGTGGTGATTAGCATAGAACAAAAACGGGTGGATATTTGTGCGGAAAAGATGAGAGAATAATTAGGCCTCTTTTCGAAACTTTGATCTTGGACATACTAGAACAACAGGCTTTCTCTTTGCTGTATCTAATCCGCCTATACAACTAAGTAATTTGACAATTTAACAGAAGCTTGTAAGGTTACCTGCCTTACTTACTGTTTGTGAACAGAGTACTTGACTTGGCATATGCTGACGACATCGCCTAGCTGGGTGACAATAGCAAATCGCTTGGTGATCGAGGTGTCCACGGATGTGATTTGAACCACATCCCAGTGCAAAGTGTTTGTTCAAGACAGACAAGAACCTGAAGCTGCACTCTGTGGTGATCAGCTGGAAGTAGGTGAGAGCTTTGAATACGTTGGGAGCTTAACCGCAGTTGAAGGTGGTGTCAGGGCAGAGATCACATCACGAAAGCTAGAACAGCTTTTGCCAATCTTCGAGACCGGTGGCGCCGCCACGACATCCTTGAAAGGGAGTAAATTGAAGCGATTTGTAGTGTTCTGCCTTACGACTGCGAAACCTGGCCCCTCTGTGTTGAAGATAACCGAATTTCTGTATTCGATCACCGGTGTCTCCGACACATTGCTTGTGTCTAGTGGAACATCAGGTGAGCAATGATGAGGTGAGGATAGTCGTTCTTCTTTTGTGCATGCCTGCCCCTCGACCAACTTTCCTTGCTCTTTTTGCACGTGCTGGATAGGGCTGAAAGAACCGCTACGACGATGAGATTATAATATGACGTGGATGTATACAGAAGTTAGTCTCAACAGCAGCTTCGGTTGGTGCAGCTCACCTCCCAGGATCAAGCCCAAGGGATGAGCATTGTCGTTGGTTAGAGGCGTAGAGAGATATAGCCCAATGGCACGAATGCTGTGCAGTCTACCTGTAGAAATCCATTACTCCGTAAAAATGCTAAACTAGCACAAAAATATAAAAGGTCAGCCGTGAAACACAAAGTTTTGTTATTCCAATTATCTGCCGTTATCCATTGTAAAGGTTTAACCTCTATTCCACTCTATTCCGTATCTCCATTTCACCATTCATTTATTAGCGTTGTGGAGTTAGCACCATACGCGCCAGGAAGCCGGTGATATATATATATATATATATATATATATACTATTGTGAAAGGAATTCACGTGCATTGTTCCATGTATGCAGGATTAATTTATGATTTGAAAATTTATATTTCAACTTGTCCGGAAGTTTTTCTCGATTTTCAACCGTGAATTGGCATGTTATGCTGTCGCTGGCTTTTCCTCACATAGATTACAATTGATTCATTGCATACCGATCCCACATGTGGCGGCAGCATTGGTGCCGGCAATGGGGAATGTCCGCAGGACGCCACCAAGTATGGCGACCATGGCACCAAATTAACAACGCAATGGAACACAACAAAGCTCTGAAAGATAACTGGACCGAATAAGCCCGCATTCCCATGCGCTGCTTGTACCACTCACCCCCATCCGCCAACCTCGATTGTGCAAATTACTACTTTTTTTTATCTCCATCCTCATTAACCAACGTCTCTAGGTTGATACCGCAGGGGTTTGACTCATTCTCTTTGGTCCTTGAAATAGGTCCGTTATGACAAAGATTTTGTCTTCTTCCTAGTGTGAATGAACAGCGAGGATCTGGTGCGTGATGATCTCTCTTTGCTAATTTAGGACTTGATGTCGAGCTTCCAACCGGCCGGAATTAAAGTAAGTTTGAATTCTACTGAAATCACGTGTTCCGGAACAGAACCGGAGCGCTGATGGTAACCCAGACTTTGGTGTTCTGAACGCAATGGGATACGCGTATCACGAGTGGCGCCTTCCAAGAATCACTCGTGACAACAGCTGGTCCATCTGGATATGACTCAGGCTTTTATATTAGCGAACTAGTAACAAAAAAACCGAATAATTTGGAGCATGCTTAGAGTTTATCGAATCGTTCGGAGAATTTCTAGAATCAGATCTAACCACATGAGTCCTTGTTCACATTGTGCCGCTATAACGGTCGAATTCATCCGAACAACCAACCAATGTAAAGACAGAAAAAAGGGATACGCGTAAAGACGACTGATAGACACAACAAAACATGCATAAAGGCAGTACGAACAAAATCGGGGGTGGGGGGTGGAACACAGTTCCGATCGGGACAGCAACCGAGAAGGCTTCGGAAAAATTAAACCGGATCCCGGTTTCAATCGGCAATCTTACCGGTTGTATGTTAGACACGCTCACAGTCCGACGTTTTACGACGGTTACAATTGGAACAGGTTTAGCGGGGGGTGAGGGTTTATTCGCGGTCGATGTCCTGTTGCTTCCGATTGCGATACGCGGATTACATCTGTTCAGAATGACGACAAACAACGCAAGAAATGCATATAAGAGGAATGATTGAGATAGTACTTTGTACACACTTGTTTGTCACGAACATTTACATAGGGGTGAGGGTAGGGTGTTCATTGTTCAGCTAAGCGCTCCCAAATGTATTGGAAAAACATCATGGGATGTGTGAAACTGATAAGGCAGCCGGTATAGTGTTACTGCGAACTTATTTCAATCGTCTCTGAAAACTGCCGGATGAAGTGTCATTTTTTTATGGCTCTAATATGCAGGATTTAACTCATGATCGAGGGCTGCTTGAACAGTCATCTTATTACATATCCTCAGAACATTGGTGAGAACAAGCATCCCTTTTCGATTTAGCGCACGACTCCGACACAATCAGTTCGCAACGTACAGCAAGCCGCTCAGTGTGCGAATTCGACAAAAATTGCGACAGACGGTCAATATCATCACGGGTCCGATATCCCGTGGGTATGTGAATAGTGCCAGTTGCGATGCCCATTCCCTTTCACTTCGATTTCGATCGACACAGACCGGGTTCAACCTTCTACAATTGATAAATTTACCATACTACCGCTCTCTGGATACCAAATGAATAAACGGCAGGCAGTACGCTGAAAAAAAACATCTACTACTACGGTCTAGCAAGGGATAGCAACACGCTTTTTTGAATTAGACCTACAATAGAACAGACAGTGCCTACGTAAGCCTCAGTATAGTGAGGAGTGGATGTTTCGGGTTGTAGCTGGACAACCTTCCCTTGCACCGCGTGAACTGTTTCCGTAGAACTGAATGCCTCAAACAATCTCTGCTGAGGAAGCCCTGACTCACTGCTTGTCTTCCTGTGGGGGGAGGTTTTCACCCATCAATGTGGGAAGACGAAACGCTAATATCCGCTGCTATAATTCGTTCGGTGAACCACTGGTAGTTCACCTAGGGGAGTTGGCTAAACCTAACCAAGAGGACGCGAATACCGCGAGGTCTCCACCGATCAAGATGAACATGATCTATACGACTGAGTTTCCTAGTTGTTTTTTTCCATACCCTCATACCAGGTCTTAGTTTGATCGGCCTTGAATTTTTCCATTCACTACTTGCCTCGTGCACCCTAGCAATCTATTTGGTAACATGCGCAACACTTGCCCCAACCAATGTAATATGCAGGGGTCAACCAATAGTCACACTAGCTAATTGCCCTTACTTAAAACTCCACGCCTAACCTCAGCCTTACTTGTCCGGTTTCCTCACCAGATTCGTGCAACGTTGTGTTCGAACACCGACGGTATATGTTCACCTTGTTTTCGTAATGACCAAGTATAGCAGCATTGGTCGAACCGCTACAGCATACACGCGATCCTGCAGAGACAGTTCGATATCGCGAAGGCGCCACAGATGTCTCAAACCGACAAATACCAATCGAGCCTTGTTATGCGTGCTGACACTTTCTCCGTGATGTTTTTGTGTGTTCAGCGTATTTCACGCATGTCTGATTCCATAATACGTGCCAAATAAAATAAATAAATAGTGAAATAATCTTTATAAGAAGAAAAAGGTCCATGATCTTCTCGAGGGCATGCTACTGTTAGGTTGACCAGGCCAAGGTAATCAATCGACTTTCCTTGGAGAATGCACAATCGGAGCCTTTGACTACCCAAAACCTGACCCGCAAGGCAGCGGGGCGGTGAGTGGAAACCGCAATCTGTTGGGGACCGATGTCCAGTGAATCGGATGATACAGCCTTCGGACAGGGTCCAAGGTGCCCAATCGAGCCGGTGACCCTTATCACGATCAGAAAGGTGTGGGTGGTTTGTACGCCTCTTCTTGGTTGGTCTGGAATCAGGTTTTTCGGCCAACTCTCCTAGGTTAACTGCCAGTGGTTTACCAACCCGGTTACAGTCCTCGATTTCAACTTTTTATTCTCTCACCTTGGCAGGAAAACACAGCTACGAGAAGGCAGTGGGTAGTGTGACGACCTTGGCAACTTGCCATTCCGTTTGAGTGTGAGTCCTGTTCATGTCTCACTGGACCTTTCGATTCATGGTATTTGCGTTTTCCTCTCTTCCAGATTGTCGCCTTCTCCATGCAGAACATCCTGTCTGCCGACGGTTCGAGCCCACACCTAGACTCGGCCCACTTGCGATTGTCTGGTGTATC